GGAAATAAGGAAAGGGGTCGTTTAATGACACTTATTGTTGTTATTATTGTTTAGTCTCTAAGTCATGTCCAACCCTTTGCAACCCCATGGACTGAAACCCACCAGGCTTCCCTGTGCATGGGATTTCCCAGGCAAGAATACTGGAGTGGGTTGCCATCTCCTTTTCCAGAGGATCTTCCTGACCAGGGATCAAACCCATGTCTCCTGCATTGGCAGGCGGATTCTTCTCCACTGAACCACCAGGGAAGCCCAATGACACCTCTAGATTGAGCTGCTTTTGTACATAAGAATCCATGGATCTCCGCCAAATTATTTTACCCACTAGAAATCTGGAGACGTTGAAGTCTTTGGTCAATTGAAAATCAGACACTTGCATCCACAGCAGGAAGGGAGCCACCATCAAGCTATCTTTGCCTCGGTTTTCCCTGGAATCCCTCAGCCCCAGTACCAAGGAAGTTGTGGTTGGACATCCAGAGAGGCCAGCAAAGAGGAAGAACTCAGAGCGTCGCTCCCCCTGGCTCAGGGCTTCCCAGGGCACTAATGCTGCTCAGCTGCGATGTCACAGGATGCTCCTACGATGGCCCTGCCATTATAGGTGTACCATTTAAAGCCTGCAGGGAACCGTCATATCAGGCCCTCTTCCTGAAACCTCCCTGCATGGGTGCTTTGTCATTTGAGTCATGTCCAACTCTTTGCCACGCTATGGACGGTAGTCTGCCAGGCTCCTCTGTCCAGAGGAATCTCCAGGCAAGAATACTGGAGTTGATTGCCGTGCCCTCCTAAGGGTATCTTCCCATCCCAGGGATCAAACCCACATCTCTTGATATCTCCCGCACTTGCAGGCAGGTTCTTTACCACTAGCGTCACCTGGGAAGCCCACACCCCCTAGTCCGCTTTGTTCCCCTGCAGTTACTCGGACAACACCTCATGTGTACCTCATTGTTAACACATTTCTCTTGATCGTGTATTCTAATTGTTTAGGTAAATTTCAGTTTGCATAACTGACCTTGTACACTGTAGCTTGATTTATGAATATTTAATAGATCTGAAATCTATTTCAGATCTTCTCAGATCATGGAGATCTATTTCCTTTTTTTGACAACTGGGCAGGATTCTGTTATATAGAGAGAAATTACATCTGATTTCAGGGCTTCCTTGGTGGCTTTGATGGTTAAAGACTCTGCCTGCAATGCAGGAGGCATGGGTTTGACCCCTGGGTCAGGAAGATCCCCTGAGGAAGGGAATGGCTCAGTTCAGTTCAGCTCAGTCGTGTCCGACATTTTGTGACCCCATGGACTGCAGAACACCAGGCTTCCCTGGCCATCACCAACTCCTGGAGCTTGCTTAGACTCATGTCCATCAAGTTGGTGATGCCATCTAACCATCTCATCCTCTGTTGTCCCCTTCTCCTCCCACCTTCAACCTTTCCCAGCATCAGGGTCTTTTCCAGTGGGTCAGCTCTTCACATCAGGTGGCCAAAGTATTGGAGCTTCAGCTTCAGCACCAGTCCTTCCAATGAACGTTCAGGACTGATTTCCTTTAGGATGGATTGGTTTGATCCCCTTGCTGTCCAAGGGACTCTCAAGAGTATTCTCCAACACCACAGTTCAAAAGCATCAATTAGTCAGTGCTCAGCTTTCTTTATAGTCCAACTCTCACAGACATACATGACTACTGGAAAAACCATCACCGTGACTAGATGGACCTTTGTTGGCAAAGTAATGTCTCTGCTTTTTAATATGCTGTCTAGGTTGGTCATAGCTTTTCTTCCAAGGAGCAAGTGTCTTTTAATTTCATGGCCATAGTCACTATCTGCAGTGATTTTGGAGCCCAAGAAAATAAAGTCTGCCACTGTTTACATTGTTTCCCCATCTATTTGCCATGAAGTGATGGGACCAGATGCCATGATCTTAGTTTTTTTAATGTTGAGTTTTAAGCCAGCTTTTTCACTCTCCTCTTTCACTTTCATCAAGAGGCTCCTCAGTTCCTCTTTGCTTTCTGCCATAAGGGTGGTGTCATGGCTACCCACTCCAGTATTCTTGTCTGGAGAATTCCACGGATGGACAGAGGAGCCTGCCGGACTGTCTGTGGGGTCAAAAGAGTTGGACACAACTGAGCAACTAACACACACAGATACACACAGGGGAAGATAGTGTTTTCCTAGTCTTTATGTGTGATGCTGGAGAAGGGTCCTGAGAGCCCCTTGGACAGCAAAGAGATCAAGCCAGTCAATCCTAAAGAAAATCAACCCTGAATGTTCATTGGAAGGACTGATGCTGAAACTCAAATACTTTAGCCACCTGATGCGAAGGGCTGATTCATTGGAAAAGACCCTGATGCTGGGAAAGTACGAGGACAGGAGGAGAAGGGGGTGACAGAGGATGAGATGGTTGGATGGCATCACCCACTCAATGGACATGAGTTTTAGTGGACTCTGGGAGATGGTAGAGAAAAGGGAAGCCTGGTGTGCTGCAGTCCATGGGGTCATAAAGAGCTGCACACAACGGAGTGACTGAACAACAAAGTCTGTAAGTTCAATGCCATGAGTTCGACCAAGTGGGACCCTCCCAGGGAAGACACCTCCCCTATACCCTCTGCTCTCTCTCCTCTCTGAATACTTAGATAATAATATCTGATGCATGTTTTCTAAGATTTTTTTTTTTAGAAACTTCCACCAAGTGGAAGAACTTAACTACCTGATGATCATGAGTACATGTCCGGCAGACCTCCTGGTGCCTAAGGATTGATATATTAACCGCTGTGACACCACCCTGTTCCCTCACCATCAACCAATCAGAGCACTGTGCATGAGCTGATCAGAGACCCTGTGACCTTCTCCCTTACTTGGCTTTTTAAAAGGCTTTGCTGAAATCCTTGGGTGAGTTTGGGGTTAATGAGCATGAGCCACCCATTCTCCTTGTGAGGCGCCTTGTAGTAAATGCTGCACTTTCCCTCACCACCACCTGGGGCCAGGAGATTGGCTTTATGTGGGTAGCAGACTCAAGTGTGATTTGGTAACTTGTGTAGCCTTGTAAAGAGTATGCCTTTGTCCAAGATATGGAATTTCTGAATTAAAAGACATGTACTTAAAGAAATGAAAGTTCAGACTGCTTAAGTGCTGTCCCAAGAAATAGTACTATTCAGCATTCTTACAGATATTTTAGAGGAGTGACTGTTTCTCCATGTGCATTCCAATCTGTTATTCATTTTCAAAAGTAGCTTATGGGGACCTTGAAAATACTGTTTAAAAGACCATTGAAAGGTGAGTTTCTTGAGTTTCTCTATTCAGTCTTCCTTTTGATTTTTATTTTTTAAATTTTTTATTTAGAGGATAATTGCTTTACAATATTGTGTTAGTTTCTGCCATACATCAACATGAATCAGTCACAGGTAAACATATGTCTCTTCCTTTTTGAACCTCCCTCCCACCTCCTGCCCCATCCCATCCTTCTAGCTTGTCACAGAGCTCTGTGTTTGATCTTCCTGAGATATATAGTAAATTCCCACTGGTTGTCTGTTTTACATATGATAATGTATATGTTTCAATGCTACTCTTTCAATTCATTCTTTTTTAATGCAAATTGATTGTGGTCAAGCTGGTGATTGTGGTCAGGATGGTGATGATGGCTGTGATGGTGGTTGGATGGGTGTGACCTTCTGTGGAAAATTCATTTTTTTAGGAAGAGATGGCAGAGTTCACCTAAAAGCTTCATAATTCCAAAACCAGATTTGCTCACAGTAAGTGTGAAAATATAGTTCTAAACTGAGAAGCAGTATTGAGTTCCGTCATAGAGGATATTTAGATTGTAATTAGACACAGAATTGGCTAAAAATCTGTGGAAATCAATCTTTTGTGACTGAACAAGTATTTTAAATTTAATTGAAGAAAACCACTTGTCAAAAAGACACTCTTAACAAATCAAATTTAAGTTGCATATGAAATCCATACTTTCATGAAATTATTTTGCCTAAGAAGGAAATATGCATGGATCACAATGGCAGAAATTCTGACAGCCCAGGTAAACTTTGTCCAGCTTGGTGTGTGTGCTTGGCTATTATTGTCAGTTCACTTAAGATATCCTTGAAAAAAAAAATCAGGTCACAAAATAGATGAGAAACAGACCACAAAAAACTTAAAATTTTAATGTTTATTAATGTAGGTCTTCCATTAAAGTACTTGTGCTCACAATCAATTCAAGCAACCAAGGGAGGTCTCTGTCCTCCTTATTCAACATTACCCCTCCATCTTCCCTCAGAGGTTACAACCAAATAAGAAGATCTTATGAGTCAATATTTTGAGGATGATTTAGTTTATTTTATTTGACATTTAGAAAGTGGCAGTGTAATAACTAGAAATATAAAGCAGGCATTGTGAAATCAGGAATGCATTGTACTTAGAGATGGCAAAGGCAAAACTTGGTGGACAGAAACAATGAACACTTGCAACAGATCAAAATATTGAGGATCTCAATCCTTCTAGTCTGAGATCAGGGCTCTGGGCTGCTATCAGGTGCTTAGAGGTGCTCACAACTTTGAATTTAATTATTCCCATGGGTTTAAACACTTTAAAACCCAAGGTATGAAGACTTGAGCTGCTCAAAGCAAAAAGAGAAGATACTAAAATAAAGTCCCAACACAGAGTCTAAATCCTACACAGCAGGGTAACAGATCTGGAAGAAGCAGACAAGATTGAATTGAGGGAGGTTGGTCTCTACAACTGTCATACTGTCAGCACCTGTGAAGCCCTGAAGCTACTGATGAACAAGCAACTCCATCTTTTCCCACTGGATGTCATTGTATAAGATGTCCTGCCATCACTCTCAAGAAGTGAAGAATCACTGAAGCCTCAGAGTATGATATCCATAACCAAAGAGAAAATTCCTAGGAAACTCAAGTGGCAGAGAAACAGTGCAGAGCGGACAGATGGATGGAGGCAATGCTCCCTCTGCCTGCGCAGTGGGAGCAAGCAGACACCCAGCAGCACCTGAAGACCAGCTCATTTAGTGGCAGCATTGCTTCTGGCAGCAGCACTTCTGCTGACAGCAGCTCTTCTGCTGGCAACAGCCCTTCCCACCCCCGCAGCCACACGAGTTGTAACAGCAGGTGCGGCGGTGACAGCAGACCACCGGGACGCTGCAGCAGCCCCCGCAGCAGCCGTAGCAGCAGGGGCAGCAGCTGGTGCAGCAGCCCACCCGGTAGCATCTGCAGCTGCTGCAGCTGCTGCAGCCACCACCGCAGCCACCACTGCAGCCACCACCGCAGCCACCGCCGCAGCCACCACCGCAGCCACCGCTGCAGCCACCACAACTTCCACAACCACAGCAGCCCATGGTGTCAGTAGAGAGGACTCAGGAGAGATGAGGAGTGAGACTCAGGAGATGTGGGAGGTTGGATGCCGCCTTCTGCTGGGGAAGACCCTTATATACTGACCCCTTTTCCTGTTTTTTGGCCCAGTTTCCTTGAAGAGTATCACAAGACCTTTTGCTTACTTCCTTCTTGAGTACCTGTGCCATGATAACTTGCTATTCTTAGCATAGCAGCCTCATAACTTTGAGTTTTCTGTTGGGAATGAAATGGTTGTGTATCAGATCTTCAGTTCAGAAGTGGAAAAGTGATGGCCAAGGTGCAGGAAAAAGCAGCCTCAGGGGCTGCAGAGTGTTGCCTGTGTGTCAGACGTGACCATCCTAGAGTTCACGTGAGTGAAGAGTTGAAGAGCTCCCGTGAGTGCCCCAGAGTTTTCCCATGACGCTGGGCAATGGAAACGGGGGGCTGGGAGAAACCGCTCAATGGTGAGAAGTAAATCAAAGGAGGGTATATTAACATTTCCTTCTCTAGCTTTCAAAAGGTAAACTTAACAAAGAGATGCCAGTTGTCAGTCCAGGGACACCACTGTCCTGGGAGAAGCACAGACCTGCCCAAGCCCAGGTGTCTCTGATGCAGAGGCTGTGGTGTAAGTCTCAAGAAAGACTGACAGTGAGCTCTTTGGAGTTCCTGGACTAGCTGGGCAGGCCTTAATTCTCAAGACAGTCAAGCAAGGGGACTAGTGTTTACACCTGCAAGCTACCTGGGGCGAAAGTAGGAAACCAGATCTGCAGGGCCAGCTGGATGGAGACCAGTCACTCCAAATAAACATTCCCCTGGGTCATGTTCGGACCGAACTGATGGGCTGGCCCCAGGTCTCAAACTTAGAGAGGCACAGGAAAAGGCCAACCACTGGATGAAATCTTTCTTATTTTTGTTTACCCAATTATTTAACAGACAAATGACAAGGAGGAACTTCCTCCTAGCAGATGTTAGGTGTGGGCTACACAAAATTATAGTTTTAGCATCTGACATCACACGAGTTTTCTTTTTTTGGCAAGGTCAGGATAATCTTTAATGAACAGTCAAGTTTTATAAAATAAGAACCTCAGGGAGCCAGTAAAAGCATAGCTGTGTTGTTGTTGTTGTTGTTGTTTTAAACATAATCACAATAGTAAATGATGTTTTATCAGTTTTCACAATCAATAGCCAGACCCTCCCACCCCCCCAAAAAAGAGAATTACAATTACAAGCTATAATAGGAACATGATTAACTTAACAATATAAAATAATTACATACAGTTTGGGGGGGGGGTGGTGTCAAGTCAAGTGATGTGGTAAGTGGAAGTACATATGTGTATATGTTTTCATCCACCCAGCCAGTCTATGTCTTTTGGTTGGAGAATTTAATCCATTTACATTTAAGCTAATTATTGATATATATGATCCTATTACTGTTTTCTTAATTGGGGTTTATTTTCTGCATTTGTTTGGTTTTATTTCTGTCTTTTCCTTCTCTTGTTTCCTGCCTAGAGAAGTTCCTTTAGCATTTATTGTAAAGCTGGTTTGGTGGTGCTGAATTCTGTTAACTTTTGCTTGTCTGCAGAGCCTTCCATTTTTCCCTCAAATCTGAAGGAGAGTCTTGCTTGATACAGTAGTCTTGGTTGTAGGTTCTTCCCTTTCATCACTTTAAGCATATCATGCGATTCCCTTCTGGCTTATAAAATTTCTGTTGCGAAATCAGCTGATAGCCTGATTAGAGCTCCTTTGGTGTTGGCATTTTTCCCTTGTTGCTTTTAATATTTTATCTCTGTCTTTAATTTTTGCCATTTTCATTACTATGTGTCTTGGTGTGTTCCTCCTTGGGTTTATCTTTCCTGGGACTCTGCTTTCTGGTATTGGTTGACTATTTCCTTTCCCATGCTCAGGAAGTTTTCAGCTATTATCTCTTCAAATATTTTCTCAGGTCCTTTCTTTCTCTCTTCTCCTCCTAGGACTCCTATAACATGAATGTTGGTGCTTTTAATGTTGCCTCAGAGGTCTCTTGGGCAGTCTGCATTTCTTTTCATTCTTTTTTCTATATTCTGTTCTGGGGCTGTGGTTTACACCATTCTGTCCTTCAGGTCATTTATCCATTCTGCCTCAGTTATTCTGCTATCCATCCCTTCTAGTATTATTCATCTCTGTTTGTTGTTTCTTTATTTGGTTCTTCTAGGTCTTTGGTAAACATTTCTTGCATCTTCTCGATCTTTGCCTCCATTCTTTTTCTGAGATCCAGAATCATCTTCACTATCATTACCCTGAATTCTTTTTCTGAAACGTTGCTTATCTCCACTTTTTCTGGCATTTTATCTTGTCTAGGACATATCTTTCTGCTTTTTCATCATGATTAACTTTCTGTAATATGGTTTTTGTTTCAGCCACTGTGAGACTATGCTTCTTCTTCTGTATGCTCTGGATGGATGGGGCTAAGAAGCTTGTGTAAGCTTGTTGATGGGAGAGACTGGTGATGGGAAAAACTGGGTCTTGCTCTGGTGGGCAGGGCTTTGCTCAGTAAAGTTTAAATCCGATTATCTGCTGATGGGTGGGGTTCCACTCTCTCCCTGGTAGTTGTTTGGCCAGAAATGACCCAGCCCTGGGGTCTGTGGGCTCTCTATGGTAGGGTTAATGGTGAACGCCAAGAGGGTTTACACCAAGAGGACCTTCCTGGCCTGATGATGCCTGTGCCCCCATCCCTGTGGTAGCCCCTGCTGATCCATGCCTCCACAGGAGGCCCTCCAACACTAGCAGGTAGTTTCGGTTCAGTTTTGGTTCAGTAGTTTTGGTTCAGGTAGTTTGGTTCAGTGAACAGTGGGTTCACTGTTCCTTTCCTCTGGGTCTTGGTTCTTGCAAAATTTTGTTTGTGCCCTCTAAGACTGGAGTCTCTATTTTCCCCAGTCCTCTGGAAGTTCTATAATCAAATCCCACTGGCTTTAAGATCAGATTCCCTGGGGATTCCCAGTCCCTTTGTCGGATCCCCAGGCTGGGAAGCCTGATGTGGAGTTCAGAACTATCAGAACAGTGCAAGAACTCCTTTGGTATTATTGTTCTCCAGTTTGTGGGTCACCCACATGGAGAGTATGGGATTTGATTTTATCATGATTGTGCCCCTCCTACTGTCTCGCTGTAGCTCCTTCTTTGTCTTTGGACATGGAGTGTTTTTATTTAATGGGTTTCAGTGTCCTCCTGTTGATGGTTGTTCAACAGCTAGTTGCAATTTTGGTGTTCTTGGAGAAGGAGAGGAGTGTGTGTCCTACTCTGCTATCTTGAACCGGAAACCACACCTGCATTTTAAAGTGAGATGTTAAGGATGCTCTTTCTGTTTGGGGTCTTGTTTTTCACTTATTCTTCCAAGAGGTTTTTGTAACTTAGTGGATAAGCACTGAATCTCAGTAGAGAGAAAAACAATCTTTTTTCCTAACCTGCGATGACTAAGAAGCATATGTTAAAAAATGGGACTTTTACCTGACTCCAGATGCAAACTGTCATGGTTATAAAAAATGAGGATAGTTCTTAAATATTTCAGGCATTTATTTAATACAACAGCTGACAGTTGAATATGTACAATGGGTCAGGCACTATTCCAGTCCCTGGGGCAAAACATACATACACGTGTTAGTTCTTAGGAGCGCAAAGCTGTTCGAAGTGTGTTCTAATCCAAATATAGCTTTAAGAGACAGGTAATGGTTTAAAATAGCAATGTTAACTGGACACAGTCTCAACAAGGAAGGATGTCCGAGTCTCGTGAGGTCTCTTATAGGAAGTGGGATGAACAACAAGGCACAAACTGTATATTCTTGGCTCAGCTCCCGAAGATGGTATATAAGGGTCCCCCTAGAAGAAGGTGACATTCAACCTCCCTTACATCCTGAGACTCCCTCCTCACCTCTCCTGAGTCCAAGTCCTCTCTACTGACACCATGGGCTGCTGTGGTTGTGGAAGTTGTGGTGGCTGCGGCGGTGGCTGCGGTGGTGGCTGCGGCGGTGGCTGCGGCGGTGGCTGCGGTGGTGGCTGCGGCGGTGGCTGCGGTGGTGGCTGCGGTGGTCGCTGCGGCGGTGGCTGCGGCGGTGGCTGCGGTGGTGGCTGCGGTGGTGGCTGTGGCGGGGGCTGCGGCAGCTGCAACAGCTGCAGATGCTACCGGGTGGGCTGCTGCACCAGCTGCTGCCCCTGCTGCTACGGCTGCTGCGGGGGCTGCTGCAGCGTCCCCGTGGTCTGCTGCCACCGCCGCACCTACAGCTGCAACTCGTGTGGCTGCGGGGGTGGGAAGGGGTGTTGCCAGCAGAAGAGCTGCTGTCAGCAGAAGTGCTGCTGCCAGAAGCAACGCTGCCACTAGATGAGCTGGTCTGCAGGTGCTGCTGGGCGTCTGTCCCCACCGCTGAGACTTCATCTGTCCATCTGCACTGTGCTCTCTCTTTGGAACCTGGGCTTTATGGCACTTCCCTCTGGTTCGCATGCTCTGACTTTAAGTATCTTTCTCATTTTTTAACATAGTCACACATGGGTATTTTATTCAAAGTCATCCAAGAAAAATGATGGAGTGCATTTTGCTTACTAAGCTCAGCAAGATGAAGTAATGATTCTCACTTTTGTGAAATTCTTTTCTGTCTTTGCCTTGTCTTCTTGTTTTTTACCATAAATATCTGTTCTTCCTGTGGCCATAGAGTTTTTTTCTAGATGATGTCATTAAAATGTCTTAATAAAATACAAAAATAAATTCTGAACATTTGCTCTTGTTTTATCCTTAGAGATATTCTTATTAAACTGGTATTAATTATAGTTTCCCATGGCTTGGGGTTGTCAGGGATACACAAATAATTATGCCCTGGTGTGGTTTACAATTTTATTTACTCTACAATCCAGCCATACACAAATAGCCATGAATGCAAGACAGAATAACAATAAACATACCAGGAGACCATGATGCATGACATCATGCCTCATGACATCATGCATCATCATGGCAGTAGGAACTCCTCATTGTTGGCTGAGA